ACCATACCTGAAGTAGCTCACATCCCTTCTACTTGCATTCATTGGCCAGAATTCGGTCTTGTGGACTTTATCTAGCACTGAGAAGTTTGGCAGGGCCCGGATGTAGCTTCGTGGTCCATGACAGTGGTGTTGTGGGGAAATTATTTCGCCACTGTATTCAAGCACCCAAGCGGCTCTGGAGGTGAGGCAGACCCGGCATGGCGGCCACTCCTACTCCAGGCCCTGCAGAAACCTTCCCCAGAAGAATAGGGAGAACCCCCTGCAGGCCGTGGAGCTGCCTGGAACTGGAGAAGACACCCCCCCTCCCACCAGGCCCTATTGGATCTGCATGCCCTGGGGCCTGCCTGCACAGCTTCGCCCCAGGCCCTTATGATCTCTGTGACTTCCTGGAGAGCCACTTCTGAGAAACTGATCAAAATGGGCCAGACCTAGCAATGCTCACCCCTTAATACTGCCTAGGATCAAGGCCTGGCCTGAGGCCAGAGCAATAGTTCAGCCCATTGGGTGCTTGCCTTGCCCACCTGAGTATGATTCCCAACACCTCAAGTGGCTCCCCGGCCTGCCATGAGTGATCTGTCTGAGAAGTAAGCCTTGAGCACTGCCAGATGTGGCCCAAAAGCAAACTAAAAACACTCTTGGAGTCGCGGGGTGCTAATCTTGCATGCCTTAGACCTGGATTCTATCCCCGGCACCCCATATGATCCCCTGAGCATCACCAGGACACCATGAGTGATCCCTGAGCACAGAAACAGGAGTCAGTGCTGAGCGCAGCCTGATGTACCCTCCACCCCAAAAACAAATAGAGAAAGAAAAGAAGGAAGACTACCTTACTAATCTTAGCAAACTGCTCCCAACTTGCAGCCAGGCTGAGCTGGAGAGTATCATCTACTCGAAAGACTCACCCTCAAACACTACCAGCAGCCTCTGGAACCCCAAAGATTTTTGAGTTGCCCAAGTGGTGAGTCAGGTTTACAGGCTTGGCCTGAGTCCTCAGCTGCAGCAGCTTCTCAAATAGTGGATCTAAACAATAAAGCTTTTGCAGGAGAAAAAAAAAGTCTTTTCATTGCAATATACCAAAAACGACAAGAATTGTCCACATAATATAGCGAGTCTTCATTTTCTTTTGCAGTGTAGAATTTTAGAAAATTGTGAAGAAATAGATCTAAGTTTTCTCATTTTTTTCAAATTAATAAAATAATTCTTTGCTGGAGCGATAGCACAGAGGGTAGGGCACTTGCCTTGCATGCGGCCAACCCAGGTTCTATTCCTCTGTCCTTCTTGGAGAGCCCGGCAAGCTACAGGGAGTATCCCGCCCACACAGCAGAGCCTGGCAAGCTCCCCGTGGCATATTCGATATGCAAAAAACAGTAACAACAAGTCTAACAATGGAGACGTTACTGGTGCCTGCTGCAGCCAATCAATGAACAACGGGAGGACAGTGCTACAGTGCTAATAAAATAATATAATTATTCACTTCTCAATATTTAGCTTCTTTTGCAGGCTCAAATTGGTTTCAAGAATCATGCACCAAAGGACCAAATATATTTTATGTATCCAAGGACCAATACACCAATACATCTCATTTTATTATTTAGTGTGTAAAAGATCCATATTTTCTTTCCTTTTTTTTTTTTTTTTTTTTTGGTTTTTTGGGTTTTGGGTCACACCCACAGATACTCGGGAGTATCCTGGCTCTGCACTTAGAAATTAACTCCTGGACATGCTCTGGGACCATATGAGATGCCAGGGATCAAACCCAGATCCGCCACACGCAAGGCAAGTGCCTTATCCTCTATCCTATATCTCCAGTGATAAGATTCATATTTTCATCTTCTTAAAGCTGTGGTGAAAGTGGAGAACTAGTAAAACAAATAACTCAATTGGCATGGGGAGATATCCCAAAGGAATGGAAAGAATGCCTTGCATGCTCAAGGGTTCAAATTGGACCCATAATACCATGTAGCCTCTGAGCCCTGGAGGACTGGATCATCTCCGAGTGTGGTCCTGGTAATCCTCAGCAGCACTGCACCCAATGAACACTGAACCATCCATCCTGATTACCCAAATATCCTCACTAGTGACCTCTATAACCCCAGTCATTACTTGGGAGCTCCCTGACACCCCACACACATAAAATCTATTTGATTACAGTATCTAAAACCCGTGCAAACCTGTAATTCTAACTGTCATTGCTGTCCTTCAAGTTTAATATATAATATATGCTTCGCCATGAAAATTAACAGGCACCACTCACAATTGTTATCCATTTTGGTGAAGTCAAATTAAAACTTAAAAATAAGATTGAATCTTGAGCACTCTGATGGTGTTGAGTTCAGATAACTGTAAATCAAGGGCAAAAATGCCAACACCACTGACAACACATTACCTTAATTGTGATTTTTAAAAAAGAAGAATTTTATTTTTTAACTTGAAACGAAGAGTTTGTTTTAACAGAAGGTGAGAGTCAATGGAACTTCCCATTACCTTCATAAAGTTACAGACAACCACCATGGAATGATGCAATGTGGCTGGGGAGGGTGGGGGTTTGAAAACCAGTTTCCTTTTTCTGCTGTTGGTCTGTCTTCAAGTTGACACAATCCTAGAGGTAACTACTCAAAGATGCTACAGAGTCAATTTTTAAATAGATTGAAAAATTGACCAGTCACTATCATCTTTATATAGCCTAACAAATGGGTGTTTTTCCTTTGGAATCCCCAACCCTCAAGGGAGCATAAACAATAAGATGTTGCTTTATGCAAATATTTGATACCAGATGCATTATACCTTGTACTTCTTTTAAATACGGAAGGCCCCCTTTTACTTCTCTTATTACACATCAGCCACTGTATCATTTGAGAATAATTGACAAATCTAATAAATTCTTAGAAGTGCTTCTCTCATTCACGAAATAACATTTAAGTAATGAAAGCCTTCCTAGCATATGAAACAACTGTAATATGACTGTAGAATTAAGGAGCTGTCATGTCTTATCTTGCACATATACACCCATGTTCTATAATGCACAGGGAAAGAGGATTTCCTAGGATTTTAAACTGTGTGAGGGATCACACAATATATGGCTTTCTGGTGAAATTTAGATAAAGTGGTTATTACACAGCCACATTTTACAATCGTTTTCCTTTCATTTATAGTTTTTTTTATTTTTTTGCTTTTTTGGATCATACTCAGCGATACTCAGAGGTTACACCTAGCTCTGGACTCAGGAATCACTCCTGGTGGTGTTGAGAGACCATATGGGATGCCGGAATCGAATCCCGCTCAGCCGCGTGCAAGGCAAACACCCTACCCACTGTACATTCGCTACGGCCCTTCAGTTATAGTATTAGAGAAAAGAGAAGTGAATAATGAGTACAGAAAAAAAAAAGGTACCACTGTAATTCTTAGAACAGGAATAAAGAAAATAAAGCTTTTCCAGGATCTAGCTATTCCTTAACTTTCAAACCTTCCCACTGCCTTTTGTTTTCTTTTCTATCGTCCTTTTTAAAATGTTTTATGATACTCATGTAATGTGGTTACAACAGTTAAATTTATGATGTTGATGTATGTTACTGCACTCACCGCCACCACTATGCCCGTGCCATTTCTAGACATTTTCATCTCCCCACACCTCCCCGCCACTGCTTAGTAATTAGTTTTGGAATCCAAGGTCAAGAATTATTCTATACCACTCAATTCCCTTGTTTGGGTCGCTCAATATTCCAAAGAGACCGAGTGAGATCTCCCAGTCTTTCAAAAGACCCGAGATAAGAATCTCAGAGGGCCAGGCCTCAGAGCAGAGTCTACCCGTCTACCCAGAGTTACTGGGCGGAGTTCCCCGAAGCAGGAGGAAGGTCTGTGGTTAGACCGCCTTCCCCCTAACTCTCTACGCCAGGCCACCTGCGCCAGAAGCTGCAGCACCGGCTTCTCTATTTGCTTGGGGTTGCCCGACTGAGCCCAGCTCACACAAGCAGAACCAACACTTTTGCTGGGGAGAGGGAGAGGAAGATTCTCCTCCCATCCCCTCACCAAGCACGTACCACACGCACACATTTCTCCTTCCTGCCGTGGCTGCACAACACACACACACACACACACACACACACACACACACACACACTTCTCCCCACATTGGCTGCAAAGCACACAAATGCACACACAACACAACACACATCCTTCTTGCACGCACAAAACGCACACACACCCTTCTCCCCTGCTGACTTAGAATGCTAAAGCAGTTGCGCTCCCTACCTAGCGCCCATGCGTTGCAAAAGGGTGTCCAAGTGTAAGAGACAGCCCGTTCGCAGCGCTGGCACAGAGGAAGGTGGGATGCGTTTTCCGAGCCGACCCCACACCACGCATACTCCGATCTCTCGGAGCGACGGCTAAGTGGGTCCCAGGACAGCACGGAGGTTTTCTCTCGGCACGTGCAGGTCAGCAAAGCTGCCCGAGTGGGACTCCACACCCGCGCCCCTAGGTGAGCGGGAAAGAGCCTGGAAACGCCTCCCCGGCGCCGTTGCCTCGGCGCCGCCGCGGCCTCACCCTCGGTTCCCCGCGCCGCGAGGGGGGGGGAGAGGAGGGAGGATGCTATCGCCCCGCCCCCTCCCAACTGGCCAATGGGCGCCCGGGCCGCGCGCAGCGAGTCCCCGCCTCCGCCGGGGAAACTTGGAGCTGCAGAAAAGTTTGTGCAGAAGCTGGAGGCGCGCGAGCAGAGCTCGGAACCCCACGGCCCGAAAGGAAGAAGAAATGAACAGCCGCAGGTCGGAGTGCCCAGCCCAGTGGACTTCGAGCCGCCCCCAGGATCTCAGAAGCGGCCTCAGCGGCTGCCGCCAACCGCGATAGCTGCCCGTGTCCCCTGCGAGTGGCGAGGAGGGCCGAAGCTCCGTGCCACCTGCTCGCCACTGCGCACCCGGGCCCCGTCTGCTGCAGGAACCTGCGGGTTGTGCGGATCTGGGTCTCGTGTTTGGAAGAACGAACAGAAAGAAAACTAAGATCAGGTTCCAGTGATCTGTTGTTCTCCGAGCTTTGGAAAGCTCGTTCTGCTCTCGATCGCGAAAAAATTGGCCGTCACGGAGACTCGACTCCGAGACCGCAAAGGTTGGGCCAGAGGGGCGAGACTGAAGACAGGTTGGAGGCGAGTCCAGAAGAACTGAGGCTTGACCCTGGGAGCTTTACGGGGCTGTCCCAGCATCGCCCAACAACAGGTGAGTTGGGGTTGAGGGCTCGGAGCAGAGGAGCGCCCCGGGGAAGAAGCATGGGAGGAGATGGCGCGTCCCCCAAGTTGTCTTAAATAGTTGTTTTCAATCAGAATTTTATTGCCATAGAATCTGTCGAGATGCAGAATAAATTGGTGGAATGGGGTGGGTATCGGGAGGGGGAGAGAACGACAAGGTACATTCCTAAGATTAACGTCTCTGGGAGTGGTGTTGCAGGCAGATCTGGGGAGCCCAACTTGGAAACCCACAATCGTGGATGGAATTGCACCCCCACCTCCACCACGGTCCCATCAGCATTTATTTCTGAGGCGCGGAGCTGACCATTTGCAGGTGGCTCTCCCCGCTCACTGCCACCCCGTCTCTGTCCTCCCGTCCTACAGAGCTCGCTCGATCCTAGCTCGACTGGAGCGCTGCAAAGTGACCCGGCCCGCCGGCCACCCACCATGTCCACCTCCGGGGCTAATACGTCGGATCCGTCGGTCCCAAACCGGGTGAACAGCCCGGTGACCATCCCTGCGGTGATGTTCATCTTCGGGGTGGTGGGCAACCTGGTGGCCATCGTGGTGCTGTGCAAGTCGCGCAAGGAGCAGAAAGAAACCACCTTCTACACGCTAGTGTGCGGGCTGGCAGTCACCGACCTACTGGGCACTTTACTGGTGAGCCCGGTGACCATCGCCACGTACATGAAGGGCCAGTGGCCGGGGGACCAGGCGCTTTGTGAGTACAGCACCTTCATCCTGCTCTTCTTCGGCCTGTCGGGGCTCAGCATCATCTGCGCCATGAGCATCGAGCGCTACCTGGCCATCAACCACGCCTACTTCTACAGCCACTACGTGGACAAGCGGCTGGCGGGTCTCACCCTCTTCGCCGTCTACGCCTCCAACGTGCTCTTCTGCGCGCTGCCCAACATGGGCCTCGGCCACTCGCGGCTCCAGTACCCTGACACCTGGTGCTTCATCGACTGGACTTCCAACGTGACGGCTCACGCCGCCTTCTCCTACATGTATGCGGGCTTCAGCTCCTTCCTCATCCTCGCCACTGTGCTCTGCAACGTGCTGGTGTGCTGCGCGCTGCTCCGTATGCACCGCCAGTTCATGCGCCGCACCTCGCTGGGTACCGAGCAGCACCACGCGGCCGCCGTCGCCGCCCTGGCCTTGGCCGCCACCAGCCGGGGACCCCCGGCCACCGCCTCCTCGTCCCCCGCCCTGTCGCGCCTCGGCGACTTTCGCCGCCGCAGGAGCTTCCGCCGCATCGCGGGCGCCGAGATCCAGATGGTCATCCTGCTGATCGCCACCTCTCTGGTGGTGCTCATCTGCTCCATCCCTCTCGTGGTGAGTCTGGGTCGGGTGCTTACTCCTCCTCCCGGGGTCGCCTCTCTTTTTTCTGGACTGCGAACTCGCCTCACCCGGGTGGGCCTGGGTACCCCACACACACACCGCAACACACATACACACACACACACACACACACACACACACACACACACACACTCGCACGCACGCATGCACTGGCTTCTAGAGCCAGCCCAGTGGCCAAAGCAGCCTCCCAGCCCAGATCCAAAATAACACAGGGTGTTTCACCGCCACACGCCAGTGTCTCTCCCTGAAAACCGCTTTCTTTTCTGTCCCCCGGACAGAACCTTCGGGGAACCCTCGCTGCCAGTGGTGGGGGAGGGGGTTGACGGTGGTGAGGAAACCACCGTTTGTGTGACGAAGCCCCATCCTGCATGCTGTGAAGCAGAATCCGAATAATCCGAATTGTCAGGGACAGTGACCTCTTTAGAGCAAGGGGGTTTGCTGGGAGGGTCAGTGGCGGGGGGGTGGGGGGGTCCGACGTTGGGGGTGGTTGGCGGAGGAGTGGATGTAGGGTTCGTGGAGCTTTAGAACAAGTCTATGCAAGGTCTTTTAGAGATAGAAATCAAAGTCTCCGTGGGGGTTCTCTCCTCGCCCCACTTCACACAGGAGTTAACTTCCTGGAACCGACACCCTGTTTCCCTGTTCTACGCGCTGCTCTGCAAGAAACATTTCAGTGCACACTTGGGGTCACAAATCTTACCAAGGGGCTTGGAAACCAAGTTTTGGGGGGGGGGGGGGGAGTCCTCTACGCGCAGGATTGCGCTGCCCTCCTGCAGGCGCATCTATTTCTGGCAGAGCCAGTATTTTGGCGGCTTTCCATGAGCATCAAAGCCCCTAGAGCCAAACAGGGCTCATGTGTGTTACACAATGTGTCTCTCTCCTCAAGCAGTTCCAGTGCTGGCCTTTGTACCATGTCTATGACGAGTTTTTCGGTATATTTGTTTTTACAGCACCTTTTAAAATATTGTCTTTGGGTTCACTTTTTAAATGTTAAAAGTAGACAAGTTCAAACTACCTAATTCTCCGTGCCTATCTTTAAAATCAGATGCGCCAGAAACTGATGGGCAGGTGAACAGTATATTTATCTACAGAGTTCATGAAAGCAGCTAGAGCTGTGACTTACCATTATCCCCAAACATGGAATTCCTGGAAATTCTAAACTACTCACTCAAAAAAAAAGGAGAGAGAGAGATTCACTCTATTTCTTATTTAACATTGGGAGCATGACAGCACGACGGGAGAGTGGGGAAGTGTTTCTTTCTTTTATTAATACTGACTAGAGATCTTTAATATAGCTTTAATAGGAAATATGATCTCTTTGATTAAAGTGACTGTAAGTGGAAGGAACTTAAAGGTGGCTAAGAGCCAGTGTACAGTAGCTTCTTGCCAGTTTATATAAACAGAAGTTAGTATGCTTGGTCAGAAAGCCTTTAAACTCTCAAGATGCAGCGTAAGTTAGAGTTAAGTAACACTTGAGCCACGCACATTGATTTTACCACTGTAACAATTCAGAAGACAGTGAGAGCTGAGAAAACGCTTGCTGGACCCTTTTCTCTGGTCTCTGCCTTCTGTTTCATGGAGCATAAACAAACTACAAAGAGCTGTGTTGTTCTTGGTAGAATTTTTACTTTAGGGAACTGAGAAATTAGAGTTAGAAACTTAGGAAACTGCCATCCTTGTGAAGCATGTTTTGGCTGGGGGTAAGTGTGTGAAGTTTCTGGTGCCTTCCTAGTCACGAATGAACTGCTTTGTCTCCAGAGCAGAGGCATAAGAAACCGCATTGTGGTGGATATAAGTGGTGGATCTGACTGCATGGGGCAGAGCCGTTTATCATAAACGCTTTGAAGGCCTTTGAGAAGATAGAGGCAAGCAATTATAGGAACTGTTTTTGTGGTTTGCAGACTAACTGTATTTTAACTAACAAAATACTGCCCGTCCTTATCAAGGCAGTAACATGTAGATATTAAGTAATCTCGCCCTGAGAATTGAAACTGGCTCTGCTAAGCAATCTTTCCATAGTCAAGTACTTACATGCTTTTGTCAGTAAGAAGGAATCATAAATAGTAGAGGTTTCACTCAGGGGCCTTTGGTTTGGGCTACTGGACTACTTAAATCTAGTTTCAAATTCATTTAATTGCAAATTACTCATAAGCAATGGGGCCATTATACTACACCAGATTTAGCTACTATGCAAAGAATTGTCAAGGAAATATGTTTACAACTGAAGTCTTCCTTGGCTTACTTTTACAGCTTTCTCGTTTCTTTATTTACATATTGTGATTCAACTTTAAAATTTCAGACATTTAAAGCACTTGCTCCTGTTTTTAGTTCTAAGAAGACTAATGACTATTGTGACTTTTTCAAACCAACTTTTTCAAGTTGGTTTCCAGTCCTATTTGAAGAAAATCAAATCCTCCACCCTTCAAAACTGTTTAAAATGCCTCAGAAAATGAACAAATCAATAAATTAATGCTTCAGAATAACTATATAAATATATAACTGTTTTCAATCAAACACTATTTACTTGAAATTTAAGAAAGCTTTATAAAACATATAGGGGTAAATAGTCCCAGAAAAGTCACCAACTTTTCTTATTTCTGTCTTTGTACTCAGGGAGGAGAAAAAAGCATGCAGTGAACCTCCCTCAGAGGCCTTCCCAAAGGTTGTTGATACTAAATTTGCTTGGAAAAGTCCATTTTAATCAGTTGCCCAGAATATATGTTTTATAAGTAGAAGTAATCTCATATTAGAAAGTTGAGAAAGGTTGGGAAGCTGGTTATGTATAAGAATAAAGTCACAGGCATCTGTCCAGTGAGTCACAATCTATGAAGCAAGGTCGGCCTGTGAGAGACATCATACAACTCGATTTACTGAGAGGGTGGTTCTTGTCACTGTCTCTTCATTTGTAAACAGCCTCTAACTTTAAGTCTGGGACAGCGAAAAAATAAAAGCATCTATGCTTAAGATACAGCAAAGGTATTGAACTCTAGAACTGGCAAGTAAGACAGACTCCAAATGTCTGGGAGTCTGCTACATACTAAAGCTAAATCAACCTCTGGTGTCTAATTTTGCGATGACTAGGGTAATAATGTCGATTAGAATCAAATTCTGCTTCAAAGACAAACAGCTCCACTATAGGCTTGAGAAAGCATTTCCCCCATGCACGGGCAAACCAAGGCATATTAATTGCTTACTTGTTCCTTTCATTCTCTTTCTTACTCAGAGGGAGTAAGTCTTCATCTCCATTTGAGGAAGAATGTCAGATTTGATCAGTTTTCTTTGTTAGAGGAAAGAAACTTAAGTACATAGGAAAATAACTGCATGTAAATGGTTATCTGATTGCTTGCTATGAAGTAGTGTTCAAAAAGCCTATGCAGGGACCCTGGGATAAGGCTCAGGTATAGAATGAATGGCATGCATGTGTTGACACCTAACTCCAGGGGGAAAAAAAAGAAAAGCAAGAAAAAAAAAGGAAAAGTAGAAACAAGGAGAAAAAAAAAAGTTATCACCAGCATTACCTCAGCAAATATTTATTATAGGACAGGGTAAAAAAAAGCCCTATAATTAGATAAACTTTGTTTACCATAGACAAATGTATATGGAGCCTTAGACAGGTGTTGGGATTTTAAGTGAGCAAAAATCAGTTCTACTGGTGCAAGGTGAAGTCATAAACCACAGGAGAACCTGAAGAATTTGATTATTTAATAAAAAAAGATTTGACTGTATGAAAAATCAAGCAATTCTTAAAAAGCCATTTTCCTAGTCATAACATGAAAACGCAGGTCTATTAATAGTACCTTGGAGCCTGCACAGTAACTTGTATATGTAGGTTCCATGTCCAGCATCTCATTTGAACCCTGAAGAAAGCACTAGAAGAAAATAGGGTCAGTCAGGATTTTCATTTTCTCTGCCTCTCCATTTCTGTTTCCTCCACTGCGGACGACAAATTTGTCATTTTGCAAGTTTCTGGATGAATATGGTGCACACTCTTTTCAAAATGCTTTTCTGAACACCACCCACCCACCCCACACACACACATTCCAGTTGTGAGGTGTTTTTCTTTTCCTCTTCCAGCCATTTCCTTTCATGTGTAGTTCATCAGTTAATTCACTAAGTCACTATAAACCCAAGCATAGATACACAAACACCCAGCATGCCATTCAAGAGAGACATACAGCATTCAGGGAGCCAGGAGACAATGTTCATTCACATACACTGTAGTTTGGGTTGTGATGGATGTGATTGCTCCCGTGTCGATTTCTTGAGATGGAAAATGGGCTTGGTTATCTGCTCTTGGCCATCTCAGATACTGGAACGTCTTAGCAATGCTCTGTGCCCAAGCCAATGGTTTTACTGAACATGAGCTCACAAGATTTTTTTTTATTTCTACAGAGTTGAAAATAATAGTTTAAAATAATGCTTCAGAAATAATTGTCCGAAGCAGAACCCGAACTATAGAAAAGAATTACCTTGCCTGCAGGAAATGACAGTTAATGAGCTAATGAGAAGGAACACTCAGCCTCCTTTCACCACGACCTTCTCAAGGAATCTGTCTCTTATTCTTCAAGGGTTTTGTTGTTGTTGTTGTTGTTGTTATTGTTGTTGTTGTTGTTGTTCATAAAATTTATATTTAGGATTTTTTTAATTTAAAAAGAAAAAAACAGTAAGAATGTTTGTTATCAGCTGAGTCTGTTCTGAATTCCTCATCAACAGATAACTACCATTCCCCTTGCAGGCCCAGTGCACTCATTCTGCTAATGGGATCTGCTCATTTATTGGAAAGAATTTCTACTCTAAGAGTTAATTGCTAAATCAACCTAAACTCCCACTGTTTTGGTTTGGGCCACATCTGGTGGTGCTTGGGAGTTACTACTCGAGCAGTGCTCAGGAGACCAGGAGTTGCTAGGGATGGAACCTGAGGCTCCCACATGCACAGTGTATGCTCCAGCCCTTTGGACCATCTCCCAGCCCACATATTTATCAATTAGACATTCTTAGCCAACAGATTGTGTTTCGTCAGAAAGGACGTGAGCACTCTACCCCAAAGCTACCTTTAAGCAGTAGTTTTCAAAAATTTTATATACTGCACAGTGGTGATTGATGTATTCCACACATGGGTTACCAAAAATAAAGTCTGTCCAGATATATGTGAGGTATTTTTCTGAGCACTGTCATAATGTGTACATAATCGGAAGGAGCATAATATGAACAGAAATTTGATTCTTGGGTGTTCACTTCTACAACACAGACCTTTTCATCTAGCTTTCCTATCATCACCTCTTCTTTCCTAGGTATCAGATTTTCTCAGAGAAGTGTCCTATGCTCCAAATCCCTATATCTAGTCAAACCTAAGAAATCTGCAGCTACAAAAATATATTTGTAAAATTTCAAGAGTAAATAGATTTTGTGCTCAGTGAATTCCGTTAGGGATTTGAATTAGAGGTTTATCTTGTTTTATCAGCAGCACACTCGTCCAATACTGAAAACTGCCTGAAAATAGTGTATTTCTGTAACATATCATGTCTGTTTTATGGGAGTTATAGAAAAGGGTTTTCCCTCCTCAGCTGAGGGCCTAGGCTGCATGGCCCCACTTAGTCTCGGTTTTCCCCATTAAAGGAGAGCAAATCAAATAGGATTTCTAGTGAGACAGCTGATTCACAGATTTTTTTCAAACTTGACAAGGTACATGGAGCTTTATTTCAGTGTCCTCCTCCCTCCCTCCCCCCACCACCCACCACCTGCCAAATTGGTCAATCACCATTGAGAATATGCTACAAAGGAAAACTCATATTATTTTCAAACAATTTGACCAACTTTTGAGAATTTTTTACCTTAGCTTGGAATTTTACTTTTCCTACTTATCATTTTTGTTCCTCCTGTCAGTGCCCTTGACAGCACTCCCAGGGCAAGTCTGGTGGCTGGTGTGAACCTAAGCCATTCTCCTCATGGAGCTCCAAATAGGCTTTCTTGCATTTCTTTTACTACGGCTGCCTGTATTCATGGTGGCTTTGGATGAAGTAAGAATAGTCAGGGAGGATTATTTCCTTGCCCATTATTAATAATTATATAATATTCTGTCTTTCTAAAGGTCGTAGTGCTAATTTTTAATTTCTTTAATTACAAATTTCATTCCTTCCCCCATCCCCCAACCCATTTTAACGACCAGGAACGTTCTCCTTTCAGTAGTAACCATTTTCCTTTGAGATAGCAGTGGAAGCGGCAATAAGTGACAAAACATTTTAATGGCCAAAAAAATTCAAACGCCAGGTTCAGAATGGATTCAAAGAGGAACTTGGAGGTGACTGTGCAAAAATGCATCTGGTGAAAACTCCCGCTTCGTGAAGTAACACTGCCCCCTAGAGGCCGCAAGCACCAAGTACACGCAAACCCAGCAGCTGGGTTTTTTCCAGGATAGCACCTGGTTGATGCTAGCAGATTCCTTTACCCCTCAAAACAGTATGTAATGTGAATAAATTATTACCAATGATTGCTTTGTAAATATATAATTCTTTAACAGACGTCCTTCAAGTCCGCTGGGACATAAACAGTAAATGGAAGGAAGTTATATGAAGACTTGAGGCTTGGGAGATGGCAGTGAGGAGGTGTGGGGATTCTGCACTACATTCTTCAGAGCTCCAAATCTCAGTAACAGTAGCTAAACTGAACATAACCCTGTAGACCTGAAGGAATCTGTCAGTGCCCGCTTGACTGAGAACCTCAAAAAAGAATACAGTTGGGAGAAATCAAGGTGCTTTGTATTTGCTAGTTTTTAAAAGAATAGAAAAGCAGTCATACTTTGTCTTCATGGTATTCTTATACGTGAATTTTTTTAAGTCTATCGGGGTGGGCTTGGAGCAATAACATAGTAGGTAGGGCGTTTGCCTTGCATGCAACTGACCTGGGTTCGATTCCCAGCATCCCATATGGTCCTCTAAGCACCGCCACGGGAAATTCCTGATTGTAGAACCAGGAGTAACCCCTGAACATCGCCGGGTGTGACCCAAAAAGCAAAAAAAAAAGTCTGTCAGGCATTAATAAGCTACTGTTAATTCCAGTTTAGTTATTTAGCTGTGTTTCAAGGAATTAGTTTCTTCACAGAATAATAAGGCCTGAAAAAGATTGGGAAAAGTTTTGAAAGGAGAGTTGATAACATTAGATGATTGTTTTAACCAAGGAACAAACTCAGAAAGAAAATTAAAACTGTTTTTTTGGTCATTCTGGATGATATAAAATTCAGATACGAGTTTAAAACTTTCCAGGAGGTTCTTTCTAGATTGTATAATAAGGGATTATCTGGGCTTTTCTATGGTTGTATGGTTAGTAACAACTTCTGGGCTCTACAAAATAAATGACAACTGAAATAAGGGAAATTAATGATTATTGGGAAAGACTCTTCATTGGACTTACAAAAACATAAAAGCACTCATAGAAAAGAAGGTAGTAAAATGCTTCTGGGGGAATTTTATGCAAATGTGGCCTGTACACGCATTGTGTTTTTGTATCCCATCTTTGGTTTTGGAAAGATATTCATAAAAGTGGCAAAAATATTTTAAAAGTTACACTAATGGGAACCATAAAGTGTTAAGTACAGCTGTAAGTACACCATCGACGGTTTTTCTCAGGCTAGGGTAGGTTTCTTTTTTATCTTGGTCCTTTTTACCAGAAAAGAGGCCAGCTACTCACTGTTGCCAAGTTAGATGCTGTAGGTAAATATTTCCCGGGGGCTGAAGGATAAGTTCTAAAGGTGGCATTGCCTTTATGCAGGTGCGAGTGTTCATCAATCAGCTCTACCGGCCAATTTCGGAAAAAGACATCAGCAAAAACCCGGACCTGCAGGCTATCCGCATCGCTTCCGTGAACCCCATCCTGGACCCCTGGATTTACATCCTGCTGCGGAAGACGGTGCTCAGTAAGGCCATCGAGAAGATCAAATGCCTCTTCTGCCGCATCGGGGGGTCCCGCCGGGAGCGCGCGGGGCCGCCCTGCTCGGAGAGCCGGAGGACGTCGTCGGCGCTGTCCAGCCACTCGCGCTCCTTCCTGTCCCGGGAGCTGCGGGAGGTCAGCAGCACCTCGCAGACGCTGCTCTACCTGCCCGAACTCAGCGACGGGGGCCTGGGGGGCAGGAGCTTGCTGCCAGGGGTGCCGGGCGTGGGCCTGAGCCACGCGGAGAGCACGTCGCTGAGGACTTTGAGAATCTCAGAGACCTCGGACTCGTCCCAGGGCTCCGAGCGGGTCCTCCTGGTGGACGAGGTCGCAGGGAGGGGCCGGACCGGGCCCGCCCCGAAGGCCAGCTCCCTGCAAGTCACGTTTCCCAATGAAACACTGAACTTCTCCGAAAAATGTATCTAGGCGCCCGGGAAGAAAAGAAACCCGGTTCTTCGGTGGCATCTAAAGGCCAGCGCTTGTGACTCACTGTCCCGGGCGGCTGGGCGTGGGAGCACTTTTCAGACAACTCTCAGTTCATTCCTATGGGACCCTCCACTCCCCCACGCTGTCAGTGACATGCAGGATTCCACGACTTGCCCGGGGGACACAGGTCACAACTCTTGAGGGCTGAGAAGTCTGACTCCGTCTCTCTACCTGATTAAGAGGGTGGGGGGAAGTTTTGCCATTTTCGTGACGTCCAAAGTTACATCCTGCGCGGAGCAGGCCCGGAACCAAGGGCTCCAGTCCAATAAATGAGGAGGGTTAGCTAGCGGTCTGGTTGGACTGTCACTCAAGCATGAAATGTGAATTTTATTGTTGTAAATATGATTTAAGGTATTTAAGGTGTTTCTTCTCTGTGAGAAGGTTTGTTGTTAATACAAGGTATAATAAAACTGTGGTAACCCCTCTCCTTCCTGTTAACCAGCTGAAGTTGCAGACGTCAGAATTTATTTTATAAGCCAAGTAAGGCGGAGGTGTTAGAAATTCACAAACTACTATCTGTAAAACCAATATCAAGACCTTTTAAGTTAGGGTTTAATGCTATTAAAGAAATAAAGAAAAATACTATTTAAGACATTAAGATGACAATCCAAGATATCATTTACTAAGTTGTAATAAGCAGTGGGAAATTCGGTGATGCTACATTCAGAAAATTTATTTCAGGAGAACCCAGCATACTAGTAACATTTTTTTATTTTTGTCCCCATTAACTGGAACTTTTACTAATGTAACATAAATTTTAAAGAATCTTTACTAGACGGCCGTTGATTGAAGTATGTAGTAGGAAAATGAATCTCAACCTCTGACTTTCCTCCTGGAAGCATGCAGTTTGACTTTTCTAAGAAATGTTGTAGAATGTCCCTTACAGTTGAGAGGAAAGGCAGCGGGTACCCCAAGGACCTTCAGAAGGTGTTTGTGAGATGTGGGAAGATAGGTCGATTACCCTTTCACAATGTCCTAAGTGTTGACCAGATGAAGAGGTGTAGCACTTGCCTGAGTGAGATTCACCTCCTACCAGTCTCATGAAAGACCCCAGTAATACTGGACTTACTTGAAGGGCCTTTATCAAAGAAATATTAAGCATGTTTTTTTGCTTAAAGTGTTTTTGTGAATTGCTTGGTTGTAATTAAATTTGAGCCTGTTAAGTGATAAAAAGCAGTTGTACCAACTGAAAATCTTTTGGAGACTATAGTTAAATAAATGCTCTCTATCTGAGTTTCATATTCTCAGTTTTGGAAAACGTGTGTGATTTTTGTCTCAGACCACCTTCAGTAATTTGGGAATTTTCATTTTCTTTTGAGATAATGATAAATTCAGAGAAGAGTTGCAACAGTAGTCCCTATGAAGGCTTGGTTGTATATCACGGAGAATGTTATTTTGAAGGCAAAGTTTGGGCTGGAGAGATAGTACAGTAGCATGCTGCCGATGATCAAGGTTTGATTCTGGGTACCATATATGGTACTCCAAAACCTAGCCAAGGAATGATTCCTGAGTGCAAAGCCAGGAGTAAGCTCTGAGCACTGCCTGGTGTGACCTCAGGACAAAAATAAATAGGAAGCCATAAGTTTGTGTATGAGTTATAATCATTTCTCCAGTAGAGTCAGGGGTATTGCTCAAGCAGTCGAGCACATGTGAGATCTTAGATTTGATCCTTGATACCACGTGGTTGCTGAACCCCACCCTGAGCACTTCTGGGAGCACCCTCCAAAAATCACTATTAATTTTTTTAAATTCTTTAAATATTTTTAATCACTAGATGGAAGGTGAATATGACAGATTTAGACATCCTCTGAATATTTGTTACAAATAATTTGGCATCAACTTAGGGCCTTTTGACTTATAAGTTTCCTCTAGATAAGTGCTTCTGGAACTTGAGCATGCACCCATCATTTGGAGAGTCCGTGAAGGATTTCTGGGGTGTATTTATCTCAAAAAGCTCTAAGTGATACTAACGGCCGACAGAGGCCACATTCCAAGAGTCACAGTCCTTAGGAATGAGGCCATGATTTACTAGTGACAAGTTTCAAAGACACTTTTAGACAAAGTCAGGGAAACAGGACCTGCTTTTCAACTGCCTGATGGCATATCAGTTCTCAGTTGAAGCAGAGAACAGCTCAGAGAAGGGTCCCTTAGCTCAGACTTCTGCCAGGTTCTGATTTTCCACGTCTAAGGTAACAATGTATGAGAAGATACTTGCAGGAAATATTTCACTTGTGAAAAATAATTTGCTTTTCGCCTATATTCATGAATAATAAGATTGTAAATGTGTAATTTTATATATATACATATGCATATAATATATATGGAATATGGAGAGAGTGAGGGTTCTATTTGTAGGGAAAAATAAAAGGTTCACAAGGTAGCATCAATAATATTCTAATAATGAAAGACTAAAAGATTACACTAAGACAGCATGTTAAAACACACAGAGCTGGTAGTTATCATTTTCTTTCTTTTTCTTTTTACAGTCCCAGTTTCAAAGCCAGAGTCTCACACATGCAAGGCAAGTGCTCTACCACTGAGCTGTATCCCTAGAAGTCCTAGATAATGCATAATACAAGAGATGAATGCAAAGACATAAAATTTTATAATGGAATGAAGGAAACTTTTGCTATTCACAAAGACATGAGATATATTTATATGTGTATTTATGTTTATATATACACATATTCATGACTTCTAAGGAGCATGAAAAAAGCTAACACAACCAATTAATTTATCAAAGTGATAGACTTACAAGGTGAATATATAAACCAATAGTATTTTATGTAATGAAACAATTGGAAGATAAAATTTATCAAATTGACAAATGGAAAATTTCAAATTGGAAAATGAAATTTAAAAGACATTCCTTGGAGCCAAAGCTATAGTACAGCTGGTAAGATGACTGCCTTTAACAGATTCCCAATTTGGGTTCCATCCTCTGCACTCCACATGGTTCACAAAACCCTCCAGGACTGAACCTGAGTGCAGAGTCGGGAGTAAGCTGAGCTCTACTGGGCATGTCCCCAAAACTAAATAAATTAAATAAAGATATTTTTCACAGTAGCTTCATCACAAAAACAAGAAATAAGGATAAACTTGACAAAATATGGGGAGGTGTTACAGAAAACTAAAACCACATTAATATAAATCAGAATTAAACACTGAGTGTTAAACTATATTTCTAGGGGTCTTATGGATTATTTTTTTCTTTTTCAGTGTTGGGCCACACCTGGCAATGCTCAGGGCTTACTCCTGGCTCTATACTCAGGAATCACTCCTGGCAGTGCACAGGGGACCATATAGGATGCTGAGAATCGAACGTGGGTCAGCAACATGCAAAGCAACTGCCTTGTACTCTCTCTCTCTCTCTCTCTCTGCTCCAAGTCACAATTATAGATCCAAAGACATAATATTGATGACAACTCTTCCCAAACTGATTACAGATGCAACAAAATCCCAGCAGACCATTAAGTATACAATAACCTAAGGTGTTTATAAAGAAACTAGAACACTTAAACCATTTGAAGGGAAAATAGGACATAATAGGACAAATCATATTTTTAAGACCAAGTTTTATTATTATTAGGAGGTGAGGAGGGACTTGTTTGAGGCCACTCCTGGGAGTGCAAGGAATTAGCCTGCCCCAATACTTCAATTTTTAAACTACAGTAGTCCACAGTATGATGTTAGCAAAATTATCATAAGATTAGTAGGAGCCTGGGGCTGGAGCGATTGGACAGCATGAAGAGCATTTGCCTTAAGTGCAGCCAACCAAGGTCCAATCCCTGACATCCCATCACTTGATCACTTGACATTTCATTACTCATTGTTTTGCTTGAGCAGGCGCCAGTAACGTCTCCATTCATCCCTGTCACATGCTAGTGTAGCCCAATGGTGTCTCCTCGCGCCAGGAACATGAACAGCCTCAAACTGATCATTCAGGGTCTTGACAAAGAAGCCTGACCATCTAGTAGGTGGGAGGCCATGCGATCTTTTGACATCCCATGAAATCCAGTCGGTAATGGCTCTAGTCCAGCAGTCATCTCCAAATCGCATTATGTGTCCAGCCCATCTGACTTTCGTTGCCTTGGCAAACAAGACAGCATCCCTGCTTCTTGATCGTCAATGGAGGTTGGAACTACAGATTCTTTTTCTCACTTGAGTGAAGCATGATATTCCATGCATAGCTCTTTAGATTCCTCTTTGGGAGACCTGAATAGCATTCTCATCTTGTTTTTGTAGGGCCCAGGTCTCTGAGGCATATGTTAATGCAGGAATAACTGGAATCAAAGAGATGTGCCCGGAGCCGGAGGTTCTTCGTCCTCTTAGCCATTTCTTCAACGCTCTTGAAGGTGTTCCAACCTGCTCTCTTCCTGCGCAACTCAGGTGCCAGGTCATTTGTCACGTTGACTTCTTGACCTAGGTACACCTAACTGTTGCATTCGGAGATGTTCATTCTGTTGAGAGCAAATGGAACGTCAGGAACAAGACTGTTTCTCATAAACATTGTCTTCATGAGATTCAGCTGTAATCCAACCTTTCCACACTCATGGTCGAAGTCGGCCAGCATTGTGCCACTTGGCTGATGTTTGGTGTTATTAAAACAATGCCATCAGCAAAGCGGAGGTGGTATAGTTGCCGACCATCTATCTTCACTCCCATTCCTTCCCATTCCAATCATTGCATGCCGTTCTCGAGGGACTAATCTTTATGGGCACTGAAGATTCGGTGAAATGGTATCCCCCTGCCTCTCTCTTGACATGGATGATCTCTTCCTTGTAGAATGGTGAGATCCTGGTAGTGACTCCGTAATACAGCTCACGGAGGATCCTGATGTATTGAGTTTGAACGCCCTATTTAGCTAGGGCTTCGATGAGCACTTCACTCTCAACAGAATCAAAGGCCCCCTTTAAATCAATGAATGTTAGACAGAGAGGCATCTTGAACTCCCAAGAAACCTCAATGAGCTTGGTTATCATGTGGATA